GTCTGTTTTTCCATGTTCCTGTGGATGTGCACAACCAAGGTTAACATTTTTTGGCTACTATGAATTGTGCTGCCCTTCACATTTCTGTACAAATTTTTGTATGGACATATGTTTTCATTTCTCTTTGGTCAACACCTAGGTGTAGAATTGTTGGCTGATAGGTTAAGTAGATGTTTAACCATCTAAGAGCTTGCTGAACTGTTTCCAGGTGACTATGCCATACCACGCCTCTGGCTGCTGAATGGGGATGGGCTGGAGAGGAAGCTAGGGAGCCAGGGAGGGGAGACAATGGTGGCCTGGGCTGGAGTGACCAGGGAACTGGAGAGTATCTGCAGCAATAGGGAATGAATACATGTGCACATGTGTTGCCCTCTCCTGCCCGTCTGCCTCCTGCACTGACCCCTTCCCCATCCCTGTAATAGATCTGCTGTTCCCACCAATGGAATGGAAGAAGTGAGTCGCTGGAGACTTGCTACCCACAGACCACATCCAACAAGGGTTTTCTGGGATCCTCTATGCTCCATGCTCCGAGCCCCATGCTAGGCATAGCTAGGGATTCCTGCCTTCTGGGTGCTCCCAGTCTGGGGCTCCGAGTTTGGCTAAGATCCAGGCTGCAGGAGGGCAATGTGCAAAGTGTTCTGGGGGAAGGAACAGCATGGGTGACATCCTGGAGGTGGGAAGGCCCAGGGTACGCATATAGGCATGTTGACGAGTACTCTGATTAGCTGTAGGTTAGACTGTGTGCCAAGCGTCAGGCTCAGTGCTGTGCATAACTCATCTCGATTAATCCTCACAACAACCGGGGCCATATGGGTTATGATTAGTCTGGCTTTACAAATTAGGTAAATGAGGCACAGAGAGGTCGCATGAGTCAATCTAGGTCACACAGCCCATGAGAGATGGAACTGGGATTTGCAAAAAGGCAAGAAGAGGGTGGGTAGGTGGGAAGCCTCCATGGCACAGCCATCCCTCCATACACATCAAGAGATGTGGACACATGAGGTGCGCCCAGGAGAAAGTGACCAGAAGGGGGACCACTTGGCAGCCCTGTCATTGTCCTTTTGTCTCTTCAGGGAATGACATTCTGAGAGGCCTGTGAGGATGGCCAGATGATCCTCAGCAGGATGGTGCCGAGGAGCTTCCCTGTGCTGGCCAGATGGCCCAGTGGGGATGGGCCTCCAGCAAGCATTCCAACAACTCTTGTTTGTCGCCCAGTAGTTGAGACAAACTATCCTCTGGCAGGGAATGAAGGATTTTGTTCAAAGTCCTGGATAGATTTTATTTTATTATTGCCAGCTGCTGAAAAAAGCATTATCAAGTAGTAGCCTTTTCAAAACCTCATTCACTGCCTTTAAGGTAAGGGCTGCAAATTGAAGCCTGAAACTTGGCCATCTCTCCTCATCCAGCTTCCGAGAGCTCTCCCCAGCCATTGATTTTCATTTCTGAAATGGTTAGATTTAGTCTCAATGGAATTTCAGGCCAGTATGTGGCTTCTGAAGGAAACCTCTGCCTGGGTTTCCTTGAAGGTCCCTCTTCACTGCCAACACTTACGGTCCTTGGTGCTCAGTCTCTTCCTGGAGCTTACAGTTCCCATTCCCTGGCAAGCCAGCAGGGACAGTGCACAAAGTACACCATGTGTCTCAAACTCCGTCCCCTGCAGGGCTGGGTAGCATGAATAACGGAACAAGCCAGGTGGTGACTGTGGCACCCTGGGGAGCCCATGCCCCCACTGTGAGGGGCTGGCTGATGCCACTCAGCTCCAAGTGATAGCAGACAAGTAGATAATGGGCCCCAGGTGACTCTATCTTGCCTTTTTTTTTTTTCTAGAGAAATCAGACATTGGGGATTCTAATATGTGAAATCTTCCAAGTTTTTATTCATGGCAATTAACTAAAAATATTTTAAAGCCCAATGGAGGCCACAGAAGGATATATGGGAGCAGATTCAGGGCAAGGGGCCCCCAGTTTGAGACCTCTCTTCACAATGGCTCAGTGGGGCAGGATGTATGCTACGGATGAGGAAGCTGAGGCCCAGAGAGCAGGCATGAAGGCTTGAGTCACACAACTGGGAAGCAGCAGAGAGCGGAGTACAAACTGGAGGCCTCTGGCCTCCATGCGGAGCTCTCTCCACCCATCCGGGCACTTGTCCGGAATACATGTGCACATGTGTTGCCCTCTCCTGCCCGTCTGCCTCCTGCACTGACCCCTTCCCCATCCCTGTAATAGATCTGCTGTTCCCACCAACGGAATGGAAGAAGTGAGTTGCTGGAAACTTGCTACCCACAGACCACATCCAACAAGGGTTTTCTGGGATCCTCTGTGCTCCATGCTCCGAGCCCCATGCTAGGCATAGCTAGGAAAAACTTCACACTTCACATGCAGCCTCTTCTTGGGGTTCAGGTTGGAGTGCTTCCTGAAGCCAGCTCCTCCTCCCTCCCCTTCCTCGCCCCTCCTTCCCCTTCTCCCTGCCTCCTTCTCCTCTTCCTTCTTCCTCTCCCTCTCTCTCTCCTGCCCTTTAGGACTGGGTTTTCTTCTGGCAATTACTAAAGGCCCTAGAATCCCCTCATTCAAGAGATTGTGGCCTCTGGAACCATTATAGCCTGGGTTTGAATTCCAGCTCATTGGCTGAACAATCTTGGATAAGTTACTTAATTTCTTCAAGGCTCAGTTTTCCTTTCTGTAAATGGGGAAGATTAATAGTCCCAACCTCACAGGATTCAATGAATTAACATATACATGCACTGAACAGTGGCCCCCATGCAGCTAAGTGCTATATAAGGGCTGGTTAAATAAAACAGATGCAACAACTATGTACTGAGTATGTACTGTGTGCCAGGCCTGTGATGGACCCCAGGACTTGACATGGGCACAGAGAACAAGGCCTCATCCTGGCAGAACTGAAGGTCTAGAGGATGAGTCTCGTCCATGTGTCCTGCACTGACACTATCTGCACTACCCTGGTCTGCCTGAAGGTCAGACTACCCAGTGGGCCTTTCCAAGTTAAAGCCCTGGACATGCCACTCCCCTTAATCCTCCCACGGCCTGCGTGCTGTCTGGGATCCCCAGCTGGGCCCACATCACCTTTGCTTAGGGCCCCACCACTCTCACCAGCAGGCCTTGCACAGCAGCTTCCTCCATTTCCCCCTCCCTTCCCTTGAACCCCTTGGCTTAGTCGAAGCCTACTTGTGGTGGTTCAAACCTCAACTCCAGAGTCCTTCCCCACACTGGGACCTGCCACTTTATGCTATGTGCAGTGACACATGCACAGGGAACCTGGGGAGTTTTTGCTTGTCATCTGCTCCTTCAGCTCATGTAGGAACCTCATTCACATGAGGAGGAGGGGAGAGATGTAGGGACTCTTACTTCTCCTGTCCAGCTTTGGTTTCCTCACCCATAAAAGTTGTGCACTTACCCTGAACTCAAAGGACAGAGCCCATGCCAATGTGGGTGCTTAATCGGGTGGCAGGGATGCTGGAGGCTCTGCAGGCCCCTGGGTGCTTCCTGGAGGAAGGGGCAGCTGGGACCAGCAGAGAGGTAGGGAGGGTACTGTAGGAAGGCAAGGGAGAGCATGTGCTAGGAGCGGCCAGTGTCTGGCGTGGCTGGAGCCAGGGTGGGGGTAGCCTGGTAATAGGTGAAAATGGAGCCAGACAACAGGTGGGAGGGAGAGATGAAGTTCCATATGTGGAATCCCGCTCAACATCCTTGGCCCACCCTCTGGGGAAGAGGGTGACATGGAGCTCTTCTGGCAGTGGATCCAGGCTGGGCCAGGTCTGATGCAGACGATGGCTTTCTGTAGGGCCTGTTTGTAAATCTTCTTTTGTTCTTGGTATCCATGTGCTCTGCACACAGCCTCCCAGGTGCAGAGGGGAAATGAGAGAGGAAAAACTGGAGCTCAGAGAGGGGAAAGGCCTTGCTGGAAGTCACACAGCACTTTCCCCCCATGCGCAGACAGTATGTGGATGTGGAAAAAAGTCTCTGAGGACCTGCTCTTGCAAATAAGGGCAAGAATAATGGCACATCCCCCATTTTCATTTAAAAATAGTCACAGTAGCTGACACTCACTTGGCACTTCCTAAGTGCAGGGTGCTGCTGTTCTGAGCTTTTTACACTGTTAACCTTGGATCTTCAGAGCTGCCAGAGGGGATAAGGTCCATTATCATTATTTCCATTTTACAGATGAGGAAACCGAGGCACAAAGCGCCTTTGTAACTCCCCCAAGGTCACCCAGCTGGGGCCGAGCCAAGCCTTCAGTACTCTCCGGCTTCACATCACTATCTCAGGTCACCCTTACGCCTCAGGGAGGCAGCACGGGCGGGGTAGCTGTACCGGTTTTTCAGAGGAGCAAACCGAGGCCCAGAGAACCTGGGTGGTCACCCGAGAGGACGCAGTGGAGTGATTCCCTCCCACGAGCCAGGTGTATGGGGCGTGATGGGGTTCAGCGGCTGGTGTGAGAGGAGGGGGCGAGTCGCTCTAGCTCTTCTTCCGAAGGCCGGAGGGGCCTGGGACGGGCTGTACTACTGGCCCTGGCGTTTGCGGGGTAGAGTGTCGTGGGGAAAAGAGCTCTGACGGGGGAAGCCGCGAGCCGCGCGGCAGGAGGGCGTGCGCGCGCGCTCGGCGAGCCCGGGTCCTTTGTGTGTCCGAGCCCGCGCGCGCGTGCGTGTGGGGCGCTTGTGCGTGCGTCCGTGTGTGTATGTGTGTGTGTGTGTGTGTGTGTGTGTGTGTGTCCGCGTGTGGGGCGGGTCTGGGCGTCCCGGCCCCGCCCCAGCCCCGCCCCCGGCCCGGCCAAGCTGGTATTTTTCCACCCAGCAGGATGGGTGATGCTGAGAGCTGCCTGCTCAGACAACAGACACGCGAGGTCAGGAAGAAGCCGCTTATAAATTACCGCTTCCTCCGCGCCGCCGCCAGCGCCGAACTCCGAGCCCTGGCCGCAGCCCCGCTCGTTTGCCAGCTCCGAGCCCCGAGGGCCGCGAGCCCGGAGACCGAGCCGCGCCGAGAAGTGCGGAGCGCGGACTCCGCGGGCCAGAGACCGAGCCGGTGGGCAGTCTCCGGAGAGGAGAACCGAGCGCAGCCGAGTGCAGCGGCCGCCCCAGGTACCCGAGCAGGAGGGAGCTCGGCGCGGAGCCCCTCCCCGTCTCCGCGCTCGGGCCGGCCCCGACCTCCACCCTGCCCAGTGCCCCCCATTCCCGCGCCCTTTCACCACCAAGGGAGGGACGGAGGGTCGCCCGCCCAATCCCACCGGCGGGGCTGTTATTGTTTCCCCTGCAAAAGGGCTTGACTTTCTTGTGTAGTAGGCGGACAGGTGTGTGTCTGTGTCTCACTGAGTGTATGTATCTCCATGTCCCTGTGTATGTCTGTATTTCTGAGGGGGGCTGTTTCTCCATGTCCCCAGCAGTATGCTCTTGTGTGTCTCAGTATGTGCCTGCTATTCCATGTGTGCTGGGCTGTGCGTTGTGTGTGTGTTCTGTGTGTCTCTGATGCCTGAGTGTGGTTGTTCCAATGTATCTTAGGATGTATCTATCCACTTCTGTGTCTTGGCGTGTGTCATTGTGAAAACCTGTGTGTATGTGACTGTATCTCTGAGTACCTGGCTGTGCACGTGTGTGTCGAGTGTGGCTGTGTCTCTGGGTCCCAGGTTGCGGGGACTTGAGCGTCCACAGCCGTACTCGAGGGAGTGTCCCGAGTACCTAAAGGGCCAAACGTCCAGAGCTGGTTCTCCAAGGCAGGCACTGAGTGGGGAGAGATGATAGGGCGGCATGGCTCCAACGGTGCTGCCGTGTGCGGCGTGCAGGTGTCTGTGCCAGCGTCCAGCAGTCTTGACTGGCAGGACAGAGGCCCAGAGGGACAGCTGGAGGCCAAGTGGGCAGCGGGAAGGGACAGCAGGACACATCCTCCCTTGGGCTTTTCTCCTTCCTTCAGGGGGTTCCTCTTTTGGGCAAGAGGTTCTGGTCTCCCTCTCACCAGGGAAGCCAGAGAGACTCCAGGACCTGTGCAGACAGCACCCGAGCTTCAGCCTGGACTGGAGGGGGGACCTGAGAGCCATGCTCCTGGGCACTCAGGGAGGTGTGTGCTGGGCGCAGGGCTACCAGCCTGGCTATTTTGGTCACTGCCTGGCCTCTGCCAGATCCCGACCTCCCCCAGGACCAGCCCCAAAGGCTTGAGAGGTGGCCAGGGCCCCCATTTCCTGCCTGGGCAAATAAATCAGCTCAGTAACTGCCCGGACGCTTGAATGGAGGGTCTTCAGACTGAGGTTCCGTGGCGCGTGGCTCCCTTTGGACTTCAGTATATTAGCCCACGCTTTGGCACTGCTGACGATCAAATAAATGTCACGGAGAAGATCTTTTTAAAATTTCTTTTTGATTTTTTCTTGGCTGGAAGGGAGGGGATCTCATCCAGAATCTCCCAGCCAGAAGGAGTTTATTTTTATGAGAGAGAACGGGTAAGCGCTTAGCAACCGCCTTCCTCCCTCTCGACCAGGGAGTCATCCTGGGAGTGTGGAGTGGGCATGAGAAGGTGTGGGGGTGGAGCAGGGGAAGGAATTTCATGAGACTGGTGTTGGGGGTGATTAGAGGGAGCCCCAAGGCACTGGCTGAGAGTGGAACGAATTGGCAGAATGGCTAGGTCTTAGGCTTGGCTCCTCACCCGGTTGACCTTGGGCACCCTTTCTCTTTGGCCTCAGTTTCCTCATCTGTAAAATGGGCAGAGTAGACTGGTTATGTGATAAATAAGGACTGAGAGGCAAGAACTTGTCTCCAGGGAGCTGAGTTCAAGCACTGTGCCTCTGTCTTAGTCGGTGGGCCACCTTGTCTGGGCAGCAAGGATGCCAGGGGCTGGCGTCACAGCGTCCTTGAGGGGATTGAGAGAGATGAGGCTGAATAAGCCTGTGGTAAGCTATAACACAGGGCTCAGCTTCAGAGCTGCCGATTAGAGGGTGTCACGAGGTCACCAGGGCAGGGGCCAAGGTACACTTTGGAGCTTATATCCTCTAGAGCGATCTGTGTACTGACCCGTGGCTCAGCTGCTGTCGACCTCCCCTGCCCTGTCTCTCTCCTCTCATCCTGTGGCAGTTGAGGCACACCTGCTCTGCAGAGTGTGGAGGCCCAAGTGAGTAGTGTCCATTTAACAGATGGGCAAACTGAGAGTCATCCAGAGGACTTTGCCTTGATTGGACAGAACAGGATTGGGCTTCAGAGGCCTTCCCTTGGCCAGCTGTGAGTTTGGGCCCCATGGAGCTGTAGTCACTGATGTCCTGGAGAGCTGAAATCGGACCCCGGGAAAACAAGGGACAAAGATGCCCTTGCCCTCAGGGCTGGAGGGTGAGTGCATGGGACATATTGGCATCTTGATTCTGTCTCTAGTTTTTTGGTCTCCTTTCTTTCCGCCTTCTGGGGGAGCCATGCCACTTTGCCTATGCCAGTGCCAGCCCCCCAGAAGGCTATTTGGGCTCTGGGGATGGTTTTTCTAACTCAAGTGCATCCACCACAACCTGTCACAGGATTTGGGAGCCTTACTTACTTGAAAGTCTTTCCAAAGGTCCTAAAATGATAAGGTACTTCTGAGTCATTGAATACATTCCTGTATATAGGAAAGAGCTAAAAAGTAAATTACAAGGAGCACCTGGAATGTAGCTTGGCCACAGCTGGATTGGGTCTGGGTGTGAATCAGGACCACCCTTGGCACTGCAGGTTCACCCCAGCAGGTGCAGGCCGATCCCCCTACTTCTGCAGAAGGTCATAAGCAAGAATCATAGTCCTTGGGGGCTATATCTCGTTCCTCTGTGTTGGCCAGTTTACCCGGCTAACGTGTGTTTGAATTTTTGGGTTCTGGGGAGGAGCCATGGATGTGGATATGCCCAGGGTAGACGTCAAGTGTGAAGAAGAACTCTTTTTTGTGTGTGCCTCATTTAGTTGGTTTATAAACCTTGCTAAGGTCAGTTCTGGCCAGGCCCTGGGTTCTGGGTGGAATGTGACTTCCAAGGAGCTCACAGCCCAGAGGGAGGTAGGGCAGTGTGGCTATGCTGCCCCTGGGGTGCTGTGGAGAAGACTTAGGTGACTATGCAGTGATGGCAGGGTCATAGGTAGAAGGCACTAAAATTTGCTCAGAAGAGGTGAGGTCAGAGTTGGCATCTCCTGTGAGTGGAGGAACAGGATGGGCTGGCATACAGGCAGGGGGCATAGCAGGTACAAAGGCACAGCAGCATGAAGAGCCAAGCATAAGTTTGCGATAAGCTTCCCAGGGTCGTAGCTGGAGTGAGGAAAGGAGCCAGGTGATGGAGGGCCTTGAGAGCTGTGTAAATGGCTTAGACTTTATCCTGAGGGCTTCAGGGATAGAAAGAGCCTCAGACTGGGTTTGGGGACAGACATGGGGAAGCCAGTAAAAGCTGGGAGCCCAGGAGACCTCTCATGGTGAATGAGGAACTAGGCTGGGGTCCAGGAGACCAAGGGTGGCCAGGCTACTGCTGGTCAGGGCACAAAGCATTTTCCATGCCAGTGAATCTTGCCCTGAGCTCTTCTGTAAACATAGGGTGAAGGCCTGGACATGCTGTTTAACAGGTACACAGGCCATTAACTTACTGGCTTTAACCTCCCTAGGTGCATGCAGCCCTGGCGTCTGTAGGGTGAGTTATGTCTGCCCTGAGCAGGCCCTTGGGGTTTCCCTTCCCACCTCACCTGGTCAGGGGCTTCCTTTGGAGACCTGAGCTGAGGGAGCGGGGCTTAGGGGAGGCAGGGAAAGAGCAGAGGGTGAAAATTGCTGTCCTACATCCAAAGCTCTGTAAGTCAACCAACTCTCTCTTGTAAAAACAAACAACAAATCACCCAAAACAGTAAAAAGGGAGAGGGGTGTAGGAGGTAGGGGGCCAGCAGCACTAACTCTAGACAGGCATCAGAATTACCTGGGTTATCTATTTAAGAAAAAAAAAAAAGAATTCAGATCTCTGGGCCCAGCCTGGACACACTGAGTCAGAACTCCTGGGTGGTAAAGCCTGGGAATCTGTATTTTAAAATCTATTTTTTCATGGTGCTTTTTAATAAATACTTTTAAATTGAAATATAATTTACATGCCCTGAAATGCAAAGATTCTGTTACAGTTTGATGAGTTTTAACAAATTCATACAACTGTGTAACCGCCACCCAGATAAAGATACAGGACTTTTCCAGCTCTCCCAGAAAGCTGCCTTGTGCCCTTCCTCAACCAGAGGCAACCAGTTCTGATTTCTATCACCATTAATCAGTTTTGTCAAGCTTAGAACTTCAGATAAATGGACTTGTGTGGTATATACTCATGTCTGGCTGGCTTCTTTCTGCCTCATGTTTTTTAAATCATTCATGCTATTGAGTGTATGAATAGGACATCTTTTTATTGCTGAGTAGTATTCCATCGTATGGAGGTATGGCAAGGTGTTTATCCATTCTCCTGCTGATCAGCATTTAGGTTGTTTCCAATTAAGGGCCATTAGGAATAAAGCTTCTATGAGCATTCATCTGCAGGCCTTTCTGGGGATGCTCCTGGGTCCCAGCAAAAATTTTTGGAGTGGAACCCCAGGGTCCCAGGGAAAATTTATGTTAACTTTATTGAAAAATTGCCAAAGGAGTCTCTTATAAAATAATTAAAAAATAACATAGCTCAAGCATTACAAAACTGTGTCAACTAAAAGTGATCCTGGAAGATCATTTATAAAGCAAGTGCAATCTAATCTTCAGTTGGTCCATCTGACTGGCAGTTGGTCATCTCCTTCTATAATAACAATGAAGGCCTTTTCGATTATACATTTTCCTCTGCCATTTCCCTACAGCTTTAACTGTACCCCTCAGATGTCCACAAGGACGTAGTCCTTTTTATTACTCTCTAGATGTGTTTTCATTTCAGTTTTGATTTCCTCCTTGACCCAGGGGTTATTTTGTTTCTGTTCAGCAGGCTATAGCTGTAGTTTTGTTTTGTTGTTAATGAAAATGGCACATCATACTGTTCTTGGTTCTGCCACTCAACTCTATTCAAACAACAGACCGTTGTGAAATGGCTGCTTGTCAGAACATACAGATCTGCCAGGCCATTCTGAACAGCTAGTCTGCATTTGGGAATCACTGACCTACT